ATTTCACCCCCTCCAGAGCCCAATTCCCCCCTCTAGGAGCCCAATTTTCCCCTCCAGGAGCCCAATTTCACCCCCTCCAAAGCCCAATTCCCTCCAACCCAAAAGAGGTTTCTGGTCCATTTCAATTATCTTCTTTCCCACAATGCATGGAAAGACCCAACCTCACCCCTCAGAAAGGATATAAAAGATAATATGGAAAAACATCCACATTTTTGGCCTCCCAAAACAGTAAAGTTTGGCCCCCCATAAAAACCCTCAATTGTGGCCCCGCAAACTCTCTTTTCTGGATCTGTCCGTGCTCTCAGGTAAGTTTCCTGGGCAAAGCCAAAGCAAAATCTTCTGTCAACAAGACTTCCTCGTGCCCCATAGGGCTCTGTGTACTCTACAATGAGTCAGGAGGTTTCAGGAATCATACGCTTGATGTTCAGGGGAAGTAAGTTTATACTCCTCATAATGATTAAGTTTGACAGAATACCCAAGCACAGTACCTCCTCTGCAGGTCAGCCGAGTGGTGCTGCAAGGCGGCGTGATCATCCTCGATGTCTCTCAGCTTCCGGGTCAGGTCTTCACCCTTGGCCCTTGCCTGCTGGAGGTCACCGTCCTTTTGGCTGCAGAGCCTCTGCAGGGCCGCGATTTCGTCGGCCAGGGCTCGGCTCCGCTGGTTCTCCACAGATAACCTGACAAAAAAGGCACATGAAACATGTCTTCCATCTGTGTACACTGTATCAAGCCAGCACTCAGTTAGTGGGGTCTATAATTTCCTTAATGTGAAAGAACCGAAAAAATTGGGATGGGATACGTGTCCGTCAAATGTCGCTCTCCCACTAGCGCTGCAGCCAATTTTAAACTCCTTGGTGGAGAGAGGCAAACGGGGGTATGATGTCTTGCCCATGGACAATAAATGAAAGGCTTTGAATTAATGAGAGAATGTGAAAACTTAAAATGCCCCTTTGACAGGCTCAACACACGGTATAAATTTCATTGATGTTACGTTTCATACAAATGCTACAATTAAGTTCTAAATCCATATCAAAATTCCTCTGACAATTGAGAGAGAATGCCATCTTGAAGTTTGGGTCATGATTGCCTGCTCAAATTGTCTGCCATGTTTGATCCTAGATATGTGTATGGAACATCTCGAAGAGCGAAGGAGGGAGGCTTAGAGTGGCATTGTGAACATGGACGGTGGATGGCACATACACAACGGCATAAGCTTACAAAATAAAATGACTTTTCCGAACTCTCACAGTTTTGTTTAAAAATATCAATGACAAGGGGAAAAGTACTCAATAATTACTTGACTGAGTACTTTTTACCTCATGTCTGTGGCCTTGGTCTTTGCTCGGACCTAACCAATTCAATACTTTGGAAGTAAAACAGCACTCAGTGGGTACTTGACTACATCATTTGAAAGTGAATGTGGAATTTGGATGAAATTGAAAATGCAGCTGATGCTGTGAGGTTGATAACGTCTCGGATACCGTTGCTGGGTAGCACAGCGCCCTCTACTGTTTCATGCATGGACTGGACACTTGCCTGTCTTGAAGGTCATTGGCCAGCTGTTTGTTGCGGTGTGCCTGGACCTCGGCTTGGCTCCTCCCGGCCATTTCGTCTTCGACCTTCCGCCGCTCGTTGGCCAACTCCTTCTCGTAGAGGCCTTTGATGGCCGACACCTCATCCTCCAAGACGCGCATGGCGTTCAGAAGTGCCGAAGAATCAATCTGGATGAAAATTTTTTTAAAAATGTTTTTACCTGTCGAAAGTCAATTCACTTGGGTTTTTTTTCCGGCTGAAAATCAGTGATGTTTGGACTTCAGTCCACCTTCTTGGGAAGGGCGGATCCTATAACAAATTTTTTTGGGGCAATGCAATGCCCTTCCCTGCGTGGCTTTTGCCGCAGCAGTGCACCACCAAGAGGTTTCCCAATGCATTATGAGATAAATGTGACCCACTCTGTAAAAATGAGTCACAAGTCTCCATAGCTATTTTTGAGTTTTACTTTGTATTAGATTGAAGAATTTGAGCTCTTCCTTTGACGTGTCACCCAGTTTGGTATGATGAAAATGGACGTTGTGTAGAAGTTAAAATGTTCAGGAATCCTATCGCTTAAACATAGTGCAAGATTCTTTCAAAGGCCTTTAACTCAAAAGAGGCTCCGGAGACGTGTGACTCACTTTCACAGAGCAAGGAACAACTAGTTGACAAAATCTCATTCGCTAATTGCGCTGTGCATGGAAAACTTGAATTTTTTCCAAATGTTTACTTTGATTGAAAATTTGAAACTGCTTATTTTGAAGGTGTTTAGGCCGGCCAGCCAGCCAGCAAGCCAGCCAATATCCCCAAGTCACATACGAAGTGTACTTAATCACAGCAGCATGTTGAACGTAAACTTGAAAAGTGGCCTGCCTGCAGCAAACTCTTGGTGGCACGCTGTATTGTGAATCGCCCCTATTGCGCCAGAAGTATTTTGCGGGTCTCTTGAATAGAGCTGTAATACATGTAACATGTACATGGATGGAAGTGATCAAGTGTAGCCAGACACTATACTAAGCCGACATCCTCTGACTCACGTTGTTGGCTTCTTCTCGCATCTTGCGGACTTTGCCGATGTAGTTCTGCACCCTGTCGTTCAGGTGCTGCAGCTCTGCCTTCTCCTGCTGGCGCGTCATCGGCGCCGGCGGGAATACGTGGGCGCTCATCTCGAAAAGCTGGAGTAAAAAGTGGAACGATGAACCAGGTCAGAAAAATGAACCAAGTGTTGCTGAATTGATTTGAATAATTGAATATTTAAATATCTGACCGTCCATGCAATCATGTATTTGATGGTACAAAACTCTCGCAAAAGAAGAAAAGAAACAGATTTTTTACAAGTAAAAAATAAGAAAACCTTGAAGGAAAAGTAACGTTGGTCTTTTTAGTGGGCATATGCATTGAACTGCCTTCACATTTTCTCTTTACACCTTGAAATATACTGTGAGCTTTAGAATGTAATTTTCTGACAGACTAATTAATCTGTTTGGCTTCTTAAAGTTCATTCATTTTCACCTGTGAATAAAAATACAAAGTGAGAAAATACTGCTTTCAGGTTTGCTGGAGGGAAAATTCTGTGGCATCTGCATATGGAATTCTTGATTGTGTGGAACGTATACATGGTCACAAATTTTGAACAAAATACAATACAAATGCAATTACATTTACATATAAATCAGTTTTGGTAGTTTTACTTTCATTAGACATACTGAAAATAAATTAGGGAGGCAGGTATCCAGCCAATTAAAATTTTGCTATTTTTTTTAAGACTCGAGTCTTTTAAGCTTGTACTCGAGTCAAGTCTCCATGAGAGATTCAAGTCATGTCATTTGGTCGCAGAGACTCAAGTCGAGCATGTCGAGTCATTTACCCATCGGGACTCAAGTTGAGCTGCCAAAAATTGGGACTCGAGACGAGTCATTAACTCAAGTCGTTACACTCTGCTTACAGATACATGTAGCCATGTACAAACTCCCATAAACACATTTTGGCAGTTCTGATTGTGGCAGCTAGCTTACTCTGCCATTTCAGCTATTTGTGCAACAAAATTTCATACAAGGCTTGCCTTCTTAGTACACTGGCTGTAACTTGGTTTGTATAAACCTAGCCCCACTAGTGTGGCACGGACTCTCACTCCCGATCCATCCTTATAGGATAAATCGGGAGTGATCCGTGCCACACTAGTGGGGTTAGTATAAACCTTGCAGTTCTGGAAGTAGGTCTTATATATGGAGACGTAAGGTGGTAGACATTAATTTCAAAGTAAATATAGTAAACAATTATACTCCATGGGTAAACCATGAGTTCTTATTCCTCCATGGATAAACCAAACCTGGAAACAATGAAAATATCATGACCATTCGTTACGACCGTCGGACGGCTTCAGCTGATTTACCAACTCACCTTCGTTTCGCGAGAGATTAGAAATCCAGAAGCGGCCTGCTCCTCTTAAGCCAAATATCTCGGTTAATCTCAGCTCTGCTAACACGGGGTCCTTTCATCTGGCGCTCGTCTCTGTGTTAATTAATGAAAACACCTGTTGATTGCACCTGTTGGTATGGGCGCCTTTTGTGTCAGTTGTAACCAAGGCACTCGTCGACCTTTGATCCACGCAGCTACTCGTCTCGACCCGGAAGAGTTGCCTTCAGACTGTTCCACTGTTAGTGGGGGGAACTCTCCCGTTTAAAAATTCATTTGTATGGGAGTAGCTAACCTAACTTTTATTTTTGCAGTTAGTGCTACTTTCATCTTAATGAAAAAATTCAGAAAAGATTTTCTACAGAACATATTTAATGCATAACGTTGAATTATATTTACAAGTGATGATTCCTGTACCTAGTACTGGCAACTTGGAATAACCATTCTAATTTACCTAGACTGTTTTGTGATTTGTATTTGATTTATTCAAATAGGTTTAAGAAACCGGGTTTCTTATAGTGGTGAACTGTCAGCAAAGATTAGAAAAGATAGTGCAATCAAAATTTGAGAATCGCTAAGAAGGGTACAGATATATTATTGTGACTATTAATGTCAGACTGGGCTTTCGTGTGCATTCTTTTGTACGTAAAACAGTCGTCCACCTCAGCAATGCTAATTGCGCTGCGCAAGCGCACAATTTGAGGTGAGAACCAGCGAAAATTTCCTTAATAAAGGCTTTTCCCTGGCATACAAGCAAGATCGCTGGTACTTGGCCAGGCTTACATTAGAAAGCGTGCAAGCATTATCGACTTCTTAATGCTGAACAAGGAAGAGGTAATTACCTTGTATTTATTAACATTTATACTGCTGAAAGCCCATGGACGCGCTTATATTTGTGTTGTTGATATAGCCAAGGTTTGTATAACCAACCAGTTCATTTACGTTTTGATCAGGCAGCGATTTGGCCGAAAAAGTATGTGAATAAATTGGGAGTAGTGATTGGGGGCGACTTGGCACCGGTGCATCGTTGATATGGCATGTAGGGCGTGAAGGGGCGACTTTGGTGTTGTAACAAAAGACCTCTCGGTCTCAAACCTCTCTCAAAGTCTCACGCCTCTGTGTTTGGCATTTTTCAAAAGTGAAGGTAGTTTCATGTTTAGGGAAGAGTTCCACATACGGACGCCAGTAATTTTTCCCTACAGTGACCTTATAGCCTTCAGAAAGAAAAAAATATGTCCAGAAAAGTTTAATTTAGAAGGGAAAATACCAAATTGTTTACTGAGAAAAAACAATTTTTCAGACCAGTCGCATACTGCATAGGCCTACTGGGCTTGTGCACAGGGTGTTAAATTTTTCCAACGGTTTTTCTCACATTTTTACCTGGTGAAGGCAGCTCAAATGTTGTTCACAAGTACCTTGTATCCCAAATTATATAAATAAATGCTGTGTTGAAATTACCAAATACGCTCGTGGACGACGTATTTTGGAGGAAATGTAGAGCAACTCCACGCTTTTTGTCGTGACTGGTGAACGATCTATGTTCATTTGGTAGAGTTCCGAACACGGACTTCACTGGACATCTTTTGCACAAACCCTATGGGGCAGGACGGACATGCGGGATTCTCGCAAAATGACAGTTACTGCGCCAGTGAAAACAGCGATCTTGGCGACGTACGCACGTACCAGCCAGTCTGAGGATCGGGTTATACAATCTTTTCTTTGATCTGTACGTACGCGTGCGCTCGTTGCAGTTGTTTTCACCGGCTGCAGTGTGGTTGCTACCCGTATTTTTGTGAAACTCCCGGATGTCCGCGCTGCCCCAAAGCTACTTAGCCTTGGGCCTTGGCACACTTGGCTAGCCCCAGTGACATGACTGAGTGGTGCTGGAAAATTACTAGGCGTAGGCCTACTTTTCTTTTTCCAATTTTGTATTGGATCTGTCGTTAGTATGACCGATAAAATAAAAAATTCGAAAAAGAGAAGTAGTAGTGCTCCGCTCAGAGGAGCTAGTCTTGGGCCTAGTATGAGACTGGTCTGACAAGTTTTAAGTATTTTCAAGGTACATGTAAGCACTTTAATATTTTCCATGCTAAATTCGACATTTTAGGACTTATGACGGCTAATATTGCTACATTGTAGGTTAGTGAAAAATAGGTAACACATGATATCATGGAATTCTTACTGTATCAAACAACTATGATTCATAGTTGGAACTGACATTTCAGGTACATCTGACTTTTGGGTCTGTGTTTTAACTGCCCCATTTTTAATGGTTTTTCAACCTTTTCAGGTGAGCCTAAAGGCACGAGTGGACATTCCATAAGAGAGAAAAAAATGTCCCACTGGCGCGACCACGGCCCGCTCCCGTGCAAAGTCTACGTGGGCAACCTGGGATCAGGCGCGGCCAAGCATGAGCTGGAGAGGGCCTTTGAGACGTACGGCCCGTTGATCAACGTCTGGGTGGCACGCAACCCGCCGGGGTTTGCCTATGTGGAGTTTCAGGACCCCCGCGATGCCCAAGATGCCGTGAGGGGGCTGGACGGCAGGTAAATGAACTGTTTGTGGCATCCAACCCAATTCGACGATCGATTCCCTCTGACAATTACCAGTTTCGATCACACAAGCGCCAAGGTCACATGAGAACACAATTGGGGAGTCATGCTGGTGTGGTGCTTCTTTCCTCGCCTTTCACCTCTGTGGCCCGGGTTCGATACCTGGCTTGGTCCACATGTGGATTGGGGTTTGCGGTCCCTACCTGATTCTGTCAGATTTACCCAGAATATTCCTCAAGGTTTTTCCTCCCACCTCTAAAACTGTAACTGCTTCTCAGTCTCTCCTCTCTAAAGGTTTCTTCAAGCGTGCGAGCTACAGTGCCTAGGACCCTTTCAGGAGTCCTTGACTCAATACCAGAAAAATTCAACTACGATAGCACTTGCTCAGTTTAAACGGCATGCATGTAGATACAAAATCAGAGTGAAAACACAGGATTTTGCTTTTGGGATTTCCACCTGGACACTTCCCTCATGTTTTGGCTGTCCAAATCTGCTTTCAATCGGACAAATACTACAAGTCAGTGAAATTGTTGATTATCTTCAAATTCTGTGGTGTTCTTTAAATCCTAACCCCAAGGCCATTTTACTAGGAGCCATCCTCAATCTCCAAAATCCTCCGATTTTTGTCTTGAAACTGTTATTTTGAGGTGTGCCTGCTGCCTCAGTCCTTCAAAATACCTCTGGCAATTCCGCTCATTATGTTGAGGCAGTGCAAACAGCGTTCTTGATTCAGTTATGAGGGTTAGGGTTAACCTTTAGCTTACAAGGTTCTGATCCATGAATTTCCTGTTAAAGAAGAATGGATAATCATTGCCGTTCAATTTTTCTCTTTTCTGATCAGGAGAGTGTGCGGGTGTCGTGTCCGGGTCGAGATGGCCAAGGGGCGGTATGACGGCCGTTCCGGGGGGCGGTCTGGGGGCTACCGTGGGGCCCCTCCCCCATCGCGATATCGATACAGCGGCGGCAGGTAAAGTCGCTTTTTGTAACCTTTTTTTCTGCTTTAGGGCATTAAAGACATCAGGAGCAATTTTGTAGGACTAACGAATGGGCTCTTGACATAAACTGTGGCCTGAATAAATGTTTCCACTCATTGAAGGGCACTTGTGTGCTGCTTCCGGTAGCTGCCCCATACTTGTAGTAAGATGCTTTCCCTCTTGCGTGACAAGAGTCTTGAGATTTTGTACTCATTCTGTTGAAAATTGAAGCCATTTACATTACATCGAGCACTCTGCTTGCTTGCAATGTGCCCTTCTGTTTTCATGAGGAGGCCACAGAATGCAAGAGCTCATTGTATAAGCCTAGCATGTTCAGTTTTTGTTAGGGATGGGTTGAGTCGCAGGAGTTACAGTTGAGGTCAGAATTGTTAGCCGCCTGCTAGTCTGAGAAATGGTACATTCTTCCTGAAAGCCCAGCCAGTTGAAACTGAAATACCGACAGCTTTTTTCAGGGAAACATTCTTCAATTAAAAAAAAAAATCCATTTGGGAATCTATTGAAATTTCATAGAATCATTTAGAAGGGTGTGTGCATTAAAATTTTTGTTGTAGTTATTGTTTTTTTTGCGAAATACAGTTTGCTGCCATGCTTGGATGGGTTTTCAAGTACATGTACTTGTTCATTTTTGACACAAAAATTTGGAAGGCATCATGGAAACATTGGCTACATTTAAGTTCTTCTTAAGGCAAAAGCCAAAGATACCGTAGTGATAGGTCTGGATGTGATTAGGTTGTGAATACTCACCAAATGGAGCCAGGCTAGTCAACGATATCCGAGCAATTTTCTTCAGAACGTCAGAAGTCATGTCGTCATGAAGTGCAAGGGTACGCACCATTTCAAAAACAAACAGGGATGATGTCAGATGGTAACGATCTTGACTGCTTTGGAAACAGAACATTGTCAGATAACAAGAAGCCCGGATTCTCAGCTAAAACTTGTGTCAACGAACCGAGGCGGTCCAAGATTCATATCGTCAAGAAGATAATTGTGAGGGCTCTTTGATGCACATGTAATTGGGCTACCCTCAAAGGGCGTTGAGGCAGGAAGATGCTGTTGCCACGACAACTTTGCAACCATGTTAGCTTGGAGTATCGTTGGGCACGTGGGAATGATTTCTTGAAGTCGGTTTTATTTTTTGTTGGATTGGGTGAAAGAGATGCTCTTCGGGCAACTGAATGCGGCAGAGACCTCTAGCCCTTGCTTGTTGCTCCCACAGTCAAACGATGGCAGATATCTCAAAGGCTGCTCGCTGCATCGGACATGGTGAACCCCGCTCGGGCCCACAGGATCAGGACAAGAGAAAACTCAGATTGAATTTGACGGGACGGCACATAAAAATCTGCCATCGCATCGCGCCTTGCGTTGTGGTTTGGCTGTCCAGCATCGATAACGCCAACAAAGCAAACTTCCAAGTCCGTGCAGGAGTCTGGAGGAGAGTCTACAGAGTCAAAGTCCTAGATCGGACTTGTTGAAGATGAGATAACTTGTAGCTCAAGGTCATGATCCGGGCTGCAAGCCTTGCATCTTTGGATCGGCTGGAGTTGTTTGCCCATCTCTAACTCGGTGGACTCGTCAAAGCCTGGTCTTGGAAAGTGGAGCTTGAGATCAAAGAGTTTTTTCCTTTTTTTGTTAAATGTTGAAGTGGGGGCTTCAAGTTCAGACCTCAACTGTAGATGTTTTAAAATGGATTCCATCAATTTTGGCTAATGTTTTTTTCAAACAGGAAGTGTCTCGTTGTTATGACTTTCTTTGTATCTTTGCTCTTTTACATTTGTATTTGAAAACTTGTACTTCTGCGTAAACTCCACAGTAGTCTGATCGTTTATTGTATTGCTGTTGTACCAGGTATTTATTAAATTATTGACAATACAGTTTTCAAGTAGACATAGGAATGTGTACATGTCTTCCAGTGTTGATTAAAACGTGGAATTTATTTAATCCAATCTGCTGACCCCTACAGGATAATGATATTGTCACCTCAACCAATCATCTCTCATTCTCACCGCCATGTGACCACTCTTGTCCAATCAGCACCCGGTCTTCTCCTCTGACCTTAACAACCAACAACACCAACCAACAACAACACCACCACTGGGCATGCCCTGTATGCCTTACAGCCGGTGCTGTCACTGCCAACGCTGCGGCAACCAACACTTGGGCCTGTTTTTCTGACCGCGTTTACGGACAACCAAACCATCCCACCCATCGCCCAACCTGGGAGGGGGCCAGATTTTGGAGCCAATCTCACCCCTCCCCAAATTGGTCCATTAACACCGGAATTGCAACACAGCGCTCTGTTGTAGTCTGCAAAATCCTTGCTTCTATGCAAAGCTGTGGTGGTGGTTAGTGTTTCTGTGTCTAGTAAGTGTTGAGTCTGAAGCGACCCCGAGGTCAAAAGGCTTGTTTATGTTATCTGTTCAGTGATGCATTTTCAGGTCGTCTCTCAGGTATAAAAAGAGACTGCTTTTGCACCCACTAACTGCTTGGCGTTTTTTCCAACTTGACGACAGTGGGACAGTTTAGACGTGTTCCCAAGAACCTGTAAACCAGAAGGTTGCGTTAATGATTAAGTTTAATGTTACATGTACCTTCGAGCATGGCGACTCCCCTGAAAAAGAATTACATAATTAATTGATTAAAAAGACACAAATTCTGACAAATACTTGAATTTGGAGAGGTAATTTATTACAACTTTAACCCTCCTATGCTGAAGTCACTCTTTGGGTCACTTGGTAAACACCTCAAAGAAGCACAGCTGTGTTGTGTTGTGCACTGCACCAACATGCAAGAGAGTGACCTTGGGCACTTGTGCACGTTTGTGCTGTAAAACCAAAGGAGGGTTAAACTTGGCGTGTTTGCTCCGTCGGAACTTGTCACAAATGTGTTACTCTCTGTCTCACTTTTAAAACGCAAGGAAGATTTGTGTGACAAGATCGACAAATAAGCAGTGCTCACATGCCCCCAAACCATAGTTCTATGTATTGGGCAAAAGTGTTTGGTTTTTTGTCCCTTAGGCTCTCCATAAGATGCTTGATGCCGCAAAAAGTAGAAAGTACACTAAAGAAAACCCCCAGAAAACATACAGAAAATACATGTGCATACATGTATCTTAACATTATACAAGCAAGCCTGTATTGTGACCATAAATACTGGCCACTTCCAAAGAACCTTCAAACTTCTCTCAAAATCTGCCACTATCAAATGGTCAAGGCAGAACCAAGCCCCAGCCTACATGTACACTGTACCGGTAGTTGGTAATCGTTGGGCTCTGTCTACCAAAATCTGTCAAATTCCTGTAATCCCCATTTGCCGGACGTTGTAGGATTTGACCTTTGACCTTTTCCCTTTTACGTTGTATTTTTTAGGACCGCTTAGGATGGCCTCTGGCGTGGGCCAAGGGTTGAATTAAATGGACCATAGGCCATAGCCACCAGTGTTCTGTAGGTCCTAGGCACCAGTCTTCCATTGGTCCTAGCCACCAGTGTTCTGTAGGCCCTAAGCACTATTCCCGAGGCACCTAGGCCCTGAGCACCTAGGCCCTGGGTACCTAGGTCCTTGGCTCCATTGCTCCAAAGGCCCCAAACTCCTATGACCTGGCACCTAGGTTTCATTGGTCTGAAGGCCCCAGCCACCCAGGCCCTGGGCACCTAGGCCCTAGGCTCCATAGGCCCTACTCATTCCTAGGCACTGACAAGCACTGGAGTCTGTCATGATGCTCAGCTGAACATTCAGCTTGAAACTTCTCCAAATGGAACGTTACGAGAGAGCACCACCGTGTGGTATCTCTGTAAGCCCTCCAAACTTTTCATAGATAGTTCCCTGAAGTTTTCGTAGGCCCTAGGCAATAGCGCCTTCTGTGCATACTGGATAAATCCGGCCTTGGTCCAACCACAGATTTACCCAGGCACAGTGTTCAGGTGATGATCCCACACTGCCTAGCCACAGTGTTCATGTGCGCCTGTGATCCCAAGTCAGGCCCCTTGCTGTTAATTCTTGGCAGTGCTCACACCGTACCATGAAACCTGCAATAGTCGTGCGGTCGCGGAATACAATTAGGGTTGATAGGGGAACAAACGTTTTCATTAGAACCATGAATCATGATTGGTATGTTTTTTCATTCTTTCTTAGATACGGTTCTCCACCCCGAAGGGATCGTTACAGCCGGTCTAGAAGCCGTAGCGTAGAAAGGAGACGGTAGGTCTTAATTTGTAGGTCTTTCCGCTGTTCTCGGTAAAGCTTTATGTTGGTTTTGTCCAGATGTCCTGAAGCATCCAGCTTTGAAGCTGTGTCTAGTTTCAGATGAGCATACACTTCAACATAACGTGCCAATTGATTCTGGGTTGATCAATGAGTCCATGGGTCTTTGCTCTGTTGCAGTCGCCGCTCGAGTCGTCGTTCGCATTCCCGATCCAGGGACCGACGCTACAGGTCGCGGTCCCACGAGCGCCGATCGCGCTCCTATGAGCGCAGGTCACGGTCCAGGTCTCGTGACCACTACCACTCCAAATCCAGGTCCCGCAGTGGCTCACGGGACCGGAAAGAAAGGTAAGCGTGCCTTCCACGTTTTTCCCCTCTAGGTCCCAATGTCCTAAGCCCTCCCATAAACTCATTCTGGACAAAGTTGTTGGGACATGCGTCAACAGCCATACCCATTCCAGGTCCCACACCCCCGGTCAATGTTGTCATCTTTAGCTGGAGCGCAGACAGTATACATGTAGTGAGACCAAACATTGACAGGGGGGTAGGGGGCCCTACGAGATTTGGCCAGGATTGTGGTTCTATTCGTGTGACTTGCCCTTACGTATCTGTGCATTTAAGAGTGAACATTTGAATGGAGTTCTTTCTTGGTTCAAGACGGACGATATTCCAACATTTAGCCAATCAGCTTCTTGTTAACGGAAAATTTCTCATACGTCATTTTGTTGTTGCCGCATGCCGTTCATCAGTTGTCACTTTGATCAGAGTGGCTCATAAAGTCAGGCATGCAGCTTTTCCTCGTATCGGCTGATTTCCTCATTTTTCACGTCATTCTCATGCCACTGAAAATTGAAAAACATTGTACAAAGTCTCGTAAAGATGGGAATTATTTTGTTTTTTTCAAAGTCCACGTTGCGCACCCGGAATCTTTTTGATTGTGATGGAGATCTCTCAGTTGACAAATGTTTGATTTCCTCAAATCTCACCCCTGAGCTTGTCCCCTAAAAGCCAGCTCATTTTCTTCTCTGGTTCAGGTCGCGGTCCCACTCACGCTCCCGGTCACGATCCTCCAGTCAGGAGCGGCGCCGGTCCCGCTCGCCTGGCTACCGGCGGGACGAGGACGAGCCTGAGCAAGCCAGGAGCCGGTCGCGGTCGCCGGGCCCGGAGTGGGACGACCGAGAGCAGCGCCGGGATGTCAACGGTGACGGACAAAAGGACGGTTACTCCCCTGAGAGGGAAGAAATGGGTGCAGAGTAAAGGACTGGTGTGACCGTTTTTGTCTGGGAGCATCCATTTTGTTGGGTAGGGGGGTTTTGTTGCGTGAGTGGGTTTTTCTCATCGGATGACTAGGTATGTCAGTATCAGGGAGTGTCTTGATCTTGCAAGGCTTGAATGTTCTATTGCAGGGTGTAAAAAGCTTGGGTGCAAAGTTTAGTTCGACCACTTGTCACGTGCTTTGTAACAAATCGAATCACCCTAGTTGAACCATTCTGTAAAATCTTAGTGGCTCACATTTTGCCGTCAGCTGTAGTTCTCATGACGTGCGTGGTAATTGGCATCTCCCACAATTATTTTTTGTGAATGGTTCCCTCCACAGTGATGGCTTAAATTGGCTTTCGATAACCGGTGCATCTATGCCCCCAGAGCTTAGTTCCAAATGGTCAACTAGATGGTCCAAACTATCCATTGTTTGGGCCACGCTGGTCAAGCTATAGCCCACTACAGTCATCCTCAAATTTGCCTGTAACAGGGAACCAGTTGCAAAACATGCTCAGCGCATGACATATTTGGGTGGTAACCTATTTTGGCCAAGCTGGTACATGTACTTTCAATGGTTAGCACATTTCTGTGCTTACCGTCTGTGTGAAATTGGGGCCCAATTGGATGGCTTTGCTTATCCACAGAATTCTGTGCTTATGTTCCACGTTCTCTGCTTACGACCAACGTTCTGTTCTTACAGTCATCAGTCTCTGCTTACCCTTAGTTAGTTATGCGTGCGCATTACAAAATTATTTCCGCTTACCTGTGAAATGCACTCCAGCAACTCTGCTATGGTTAACTGCGGGTTTTTAGGCTCCAAGAATATGACTAGATTTGGCCTCGCTCTCAGTGCCTTCGACCAGCGGTTGAGTTTGCCCAGTACCCAGGATGTTAAAGTTGTGCACGAGGTTACCAGGGAAAATTTATTCGTGGTTAACAAATGGTTGCCTCCCAAATTTGCCCAATGTACGTTCTTTTCTTTTTTGGATTGTCCACCCTTATTTTGAAGGGCTCTACTCTAAATGAAAAACAAACATTTCAAATTTTGGGGCACTTTCAGTTTCATACGTCGTTGCATGTTACTGTTTTGTTCTTGATTTTCAAGGTCTTGCCTCAAGATTTGGACAAAAGCCAGGGAATGACCAGTGTACCTTTGTTTTTCTTTTAAGATGTATGAATGAGTAAAGGCTAGTTTGTACTTGGAGTGAATTTTCAGCATGCGGAAAAGTCATGATGGTAGACGAGATAGCGGAAGCCCAAGGATTGAAGATACAAAATTTCAATGCCTTTTGCTTTTCACGTGAAGCATGAGCCGGCGCAAATGATGAACTTTTATTTGTTTGGATTTGGTAGATTTCTCAAATATTTTTAAACGGATGCTTGGTATTTTTGGTTGTTCTTTTAAACTTTGATTGTAGATCGACTCGTGTACATGTGGTAAAGCTGATTTTTATTTTGTGAAACAAGAAAAATGTACATAAAATGACAAGGGGCATACATGTTCGTAGAGAACATTTTGTCACGAGATCAACTTCCCGAAATGTGGCCCATTCCAAACAGAACGATTCATAAGTTGCCATGGCAGGCTTTGAGTGACGGGACTTCTAAAGAATTTGCACCGTAAAACGCCACGTGATGCCTGAGCTTTTGGGCCTGAAATTTTCCTTTCATTACCCTGGACTGCCTTGGGAGGTGTTATTGATCGATAAAGTCAGGCCCTCGGGTGGTCTGGCAAGATGTAAGCTCTCCAATCTGAAGTGAGCTTGCAGCCTACAAGACGACGGAGAGAGGCCCCCCCCCCACCTTTGTGTTGGTTATTGTTTGATCAGAATCTCAGGAATTCTTTATAGACTTCTAGGGGAATGTGTTAGGGATTGGACAGGTAAGGGGGGTACCCCTCCGTCCCATATCTTGCCTGGTATATGCAGCCAGTGCGCAGTTTCATTCAGCCGCCAGGCAACTTTCATCAAAGCCGACTGGAGCTTTCGATCAACTCGGTGGGAACGACAACCTGGTACGGTACATGTATGGTCCAGAGGCTGGCAGCGGAGAGCCCGCAGTTGAAAGCGAGGGCTTCCATACTTCGGAGAAGTTTTGCCCTCATAGACGTTCGTGGATTTTATGGTTTTTCTTTCTGTTGTTATAGGCATGTAGATACATGTAATAGTAGTATTTGTGATGATTATGTTCATGCAGGAAAATGGTGTTGCTTTCAGGACAGAAATGAAATCGTTTGGTGGAGTTAGGAGGATTGAAATGTTTAATAAATCTTTTCTTTTTACTTGAGAATTGGAATTGTAGAATTGCAAATAAGGATTTTTTAAATTGGTTTTGAACAGAACTGAAGACTGCATTCAGTTGTCGAGTTTGAAGTTTTGGTCTCTGAAAGTCGGCCACGGTGGAGCGTTGCCGTCGGTGTTTAGTGCAGAGGCGATGCTGTTGTTAATTCGGGCCCAGAAATGCGTGCCAAGCAAAAACAGATTCCTGGCTAAAAGGCCTCGAGTACGCAAGCGCTCTACTCATGGTTGGCCCTAGGCAATCGATACTTGGTGGCGAAACCACCATCCTCTACAGAATCAGACGCATCATGGAACCGGGTCAAGTCAACCAGAGTGTTAACCGGACTGATAGACCACAACACCGAGGAGGAGAGGAAAGTTAAATAAGCAAGGTCTTGGAGGAAAGACTAGATTTAACTGAGATATCTGAGGATTTTCATTGCTTGTGTTTATATCCTGTAACGATTCTTACGAGTTTGGTGATGGCGTTTGCAAAAGTGTAAAACCTGAAACCTTCCGATATTTTTCAATATCCACCAAGAATGGCCGATTCTCAAATGTTACATGGATTGTACTTAATGTTTGAATGTTGTTAAATCCTGTTGTATTGGCTGTGTCAATTACAAGGAATAATAAAAACGGACCGTACGACTTTATGTACAAACATTATTTCTGTGTAACTTTTATTCATCTTTTCTCTGGAAAATGAAGAGATTAATACTTAAAATGTCTTTATTCTTGGGTAAAGTTAGTGATGTGTACTCAAAGGAAAGAATAAATCACCGCATAACAACAAAAGGTCAAATCCTCCGATTTCAATCGCCATTGTGGTCGAGACCAGATGGTCAAAGACACATGGTTACCGAGACCCATGTCAGTGTGATTTTTACATACACCCTTGGGGATCATATTTAAAGTTTAAACAAATCCACTCGCCTGGGAGCGTGATTTTATTATAAAGATTTACTATATTTTTGTCTTGACCTCTCGTGCTTATGTAAATTACTATCTCTTTCTGGAGTTAAAACATTTGGTTTATTAGGGACAAAGTGTGAGAAAAATATTTTTCTATGTGCTAGAATATACAATGAGTACATGTACATGCATGCAAATCCTATATGTTCCTCGGTTTGCAAGGGTATCTCTCCGCCGACGAGAAGGCACTTGCTGAGCTTGACTGAAGTCCCCGTAGTTAAACAAATATGAACCACATAAATGGTCACGAAATCTATGTACATATGTACATGTATTGAAAAAAATTGTGATGCTACCTCTTCATGCATTGGGAAAAGAACCAAATGCTACCTTTTTTAAAGCTCTGCTGAGTGGAGCGTCAAATCGAAAAGAGGAATACTAGTGCTCCACTCAGTAGAGCTTACCTTTTTGATAGCAACATGACCACAATAAGTGAGCACTCATGATTTGTACTACATGTACTTATGGTGGAAGGGGACCATACTAAGAAACGTAGATCTCGTGCGCATAATCTTTTTACAAAGCACTAAAAATTCCACTTAAATTAAACACTAATACCGAAAACGATTTAATGGTATTTTCTCGAGAAGAAATCGAATGAAGTCAGAAAACCTGAGAGAAAATGATCATCGAAGTCGAACCCCCCTTTACATTTTCAATGGCCCGCTAGCCGCCTAGGCCATTTGTGCGCATGCCTGCATAATTATGAACTTGTTAGTGAAGAGGTCTTTCATGAAGTTTTACTCGGGCCACGAGAATGAAAGTTTAAAGATTTGCTTCCGCAGCATGGATAAAACATGAGGCTTTTTTTTGATTATTCGTTATTTTTACCAAGACGGCGTGCGTAGTGGCCGTACCCAGTGCCCATTTTAATCGACAACGTCATGAATACCACAGGTCTCATCAGGCCCGACCCGCTGCATTTCTGAAGCTACAGTTAAACATGAGGGACCAAGGCTGTGGGGCTGAATAATTCTTTCATTAAAAAAATTGCCCGTTCCTCTGGTTTTAAGGGTAAGTACAAATTATTAAAAACTATTTATCGTTACAAAGAGTTATCTACCTGCATGCAGTCGATGGGTTCCATATTCCGTTGAGGTGACATCACGCAGTTGTCAGCAAAGGTTAGATAAAGATATTAGAATCTTTCGTAAACGTGGATTATTGCTTTAAGTTTATTATGTTACTAATAAATGTGTAAGTGATATTTTGATCTGTTTCTATTTCGGATTTTACCATTAGACTGCCATAAAACTACAAACAGTAAATGTTCATGGTTCATCTGCGTACGAGGCCACCGCATTTGACTGTATGTATTTTCGGAAGTGATGGGTCAATTTTTGGCGGGATATTTCTCTTTTAGGTCAGGTGATCTTTCAGTTTCTATAAATTGATATTCAAGCAAATATTTTCCAACCCCTTTTTCCGAGTTGGATTTTTTAAGAAGTAGCTGAATGAAAACATAATTACAAATTCCAAAACCTTGGCAGGTTTTTTTCCCTACCCGTGAGTTCGGGAAGCGCGCCAACAGAGGTCAACTTTTCAGGCTCTATCCTGTTCGAAAGTGTGACGGCACTTCAGTTTAAACCACGCCCACCGCAATGGCACTGCACGTTGTGAGTTACACGCATTGATCGCCGTTTACATGGAACCATGGAACCGGAAGTTAACGAGCAACGTTCGGCGATCGTCCAGTGGGAGCCTGGAAATTGGAGCGCATCCGCCTTTGTGACAAAGTCACTTACGAACCGGGTTCGCGAATTGTAGCCAAAGACCTTGCACCAAAGAAAAAAGCGCTGCGCGCGCTATACAATCTTTGCTTTGCATTTTAATGTCCCTTTTCAGATTGTGAACAAACCGTAAATATCCAGGAACGAATCGGCCACTGAAGGTACGTTCTCCTGCACTGGATCAATGGCAACAATACCAGTAACAGTGCAGTCGTCTTTCATAGACAGTGAATTGATTGAAAATCCAAACAAAATAGGAAAAATTCCTGCCGCATATCTTCGACAGAAAGAGCCAACTGGTGGATGGAAGAAACCCGACGGCTAGGTCATCTGTACAGAAGGTAGGGGCCCGTACAACTATAGAATACACGGCCACTCTATCCGGCCTCGCATCCATGGTTGCGTGGATGCGCAGTCGAGTCAGTCGTTCGTGTGTGTATGTGCACAAAACGATGGGCCCAGCGCTGGCGTGGATGCGCAGTCCAGTCAGTCGTCCCACGGCTAGGTCAATTGTCTACGCACATTTCCAATGGAGGGAAGACCTAGACCTAGCTCTAGACAACAGATTCGGATGCAGCCACAGTCGAGTCTTGGCCCAAACGTCAGTGATCGATGGCTACAATCTCCATCATTTCCAATAGGCCTATATACAAGCTAGGATTATTGAAGCACTCGTTCTGTTTTCAGTGTGGACACCAGCCCTTTACTTCATGGAAATTCTCAGGGTTTCCCATTTTGGCTTCCTGATCCTACTATGGATCCTGAATGCAAACACGCTAATGTGATGCATACGCTGCGCCCTGATCTCTTCAAATTGGCACCATAAAATTCATGCGTATAACTATAGACCCAACGCTTTGTCTATGTGGAGTAGGCGATGAAATGCTAAGTCCAAGATATGTCTCAGAGTGAAATCAGTCTATGAGGCAGTGCATTGACAATAAAAAGAAAGTTAACAGCCACAAAGGAATTTTTTTGTTCGATTTTAATTTTACTTTATTAACCCTGATTCCGCAGATCGATGTTCTGGCGGCAAACACATATTCGAAACAAAGAAATGTTTGTATAAAACTAACTTCGTAGAAGAACCTCACGTTAATGGTTCAATCAATTAACTTCCTCCGCAACTTCAAAGTTCATCGACTTGCCAAGTTTTAAATTGTCAGAAGATGGGTCCACCTTCAACCAGTGAAATGAGTTGGCAGCTCCAGTCCCCAAAAAAGTAGTATGCATAATCCGAAGTTCTTCAGTTGTTGAGGAGGTTGTCCTGGACAATATCCGCTCCGAGAGGAACAAAAGAGGGCGTGGTTTTTTGGTACTCACTTCATAGGCGCGCAAGTATTACGCACGTTTGGCGCGGAGCACGCTGAGTACGCGTAACTAATTTATTCCGGCATAGGCTGCGTCTGAATCCGTTGTCTAGAGCTAGGTCTAGGTCTTCACTCCATTGACAATGCGTGGAGACGCGCAGACAATAGACCTAGCCGTAGCTTTGGAAGCCCGTTTTGGACACGGCTTATATGGTCTTTGAGTGCACGCAGAACGCGTGCAAGAATCACTTGTAACCGCATGTCTTTCTTTTCGCCGATTGGGGGTGCACTTCAGATCGGGGCGGACAATTAAATTAAGTTAAAATGGTTTGTTGTAATACCCATAGGAGTTTGTACTGTTTGCTTTCGCTTTGTCCAAGGGTAGATATGAACTGATTAACGAAATTTTACTGATGGGGGCCGTATATTGAGGCAATGCCTATTCCCTGGTGGAGCTGGGCCTAGTATGAAACTGGCCTGACAAATTCTAAGCGCTTCAATATTTTCCCTGCTAAATTTGACATTTTAGGACTTACGACTTTATGATGGCAAATAGTAGGGCCTAATAATATGTAGGTTAGGATAAAAAAAGTAAAATAGGGGAAAATGAGAAAAAAAGTGAAACATAATAACATGGATCTCTAGTGTTCATGGTCTTACTTCACCAAACACTACGATCCATAGTCGGAACTGGCATCTCAGGTAGATCTGACTTTTGTGGTCTGCGTTTTAACTGCCCCATTTTTAATGGTTTTTTCAACCTTTGCAGGTGAGCCTAAAGGATAGAGTGGGCGTTCCATAAGAGAGAAAAAAACATGTCCCACGGTCGCGACCACAGCAAGCCCGCATACAAAGTCTACGTGGGCAACCTGGGATCGGGCGCGTCCAAGCATGAGTTGGAGAGGGCCTTTGAAGCGTACGGCCCGCTGAACGACGTCTCGGTGGTGCCCAGCTCGGGGTTCGCCTTCGTGGAGTTTCAGGACCCCCGCGACGCCGAAGATGCCGTGAGAGGGCTGAACGGCAGGTAAATGAACTGCACAGAGGGTTGTGGATTGCGACCCGAAAAAGTTCGAGCACAATCAAGTCCCTTCTACATAGTTACCCGTTCGATCAAGCACGCACTGAGGTCGCATGAGAACACAGTTGGAGAGTCACGTTGGTGTGGTGCTTCTTTCCTCGCATTTCAACTCTGTGGTGCCAGGTTCAAATCCCGACTCGGTTCACTTGTGGATTGGGTTTTCAGTCCCTATCTGACTGCGTGGGATTTTTACCCTAGAGTATCCCTCTTGGGTTTTCCTCCCACCTCTAAAACTGTAACCGCTTCTCTCCTCTCTAAAGGTTTCTTCAAGCTTGCGAGCTACAGTGCCTAGGACTCTTTTCAGGAGTCCTTGACTCATCACCGGAAAAAATTACTTACGATAGCTCCCGAAAAGCTGAAACGGCATGCATAAACCAGAAAAAAAAAACACTCAACAGAACTTTGCTTTTGGGCATTTCTTTCGCGTTTTGAACCTGTCCAAATGTGCTCTCATACGGAAGCGAATAAGATCCACTTCCCAAAAATTCTTGTCGAGATACTGTCTCACCGCGGCGATTACTATCTGGCAACTCGAAAAAAAAAATTGCAAGTGGCCCTTACACGCTTCCTTACTCTCAGTCAGACAAAATTAGTACAAGTCAGTGAGTGAGGTAGTCAAGTCTTTCGCAAGTCTCCAGTCGCAAGTCTCCAGTCGCAAGTCTCCAGTTGATTGTTGATTCAGAGACCAGTCTTTGTCAGAAAGTGGTGGAAGATCGCCCTCAGAAGTCTGGAGAAAAGCCTACGTTGTATCATTTGCTGACAAGGCTGTGGTTACGAATTTCTCGTTTAAGAAGAATGGTTGAACATTGCCATTAATTTTTTTTTTGTCTTTTCTGATCAGGAGAGTGTGGGGGAGTCGTGTCCGAGTCGAGATGGCCACTGGCAAGCGGCAGTATCACAACCGGTCTAGGAGGCGGTCTGGGGGTTCCCATGAGGCCCAGCCCCCCTCGAAATCTCAAAATAGAGGTGGCAGGTAAAGTGGCAATTTGTAACCTTTTTATCAGGAACAACATTGAAGGACCAGTAAATAAATAATAAATAAATAGAATAAATGTATCCACTCACGAAAGGGCACTGTGCTGTTAGCTGCCGTGTGCTTGTAGTTATAAATGCTTTCCCTCTTAATACATGACGATACTTTAGATTTGTGCTCATTCCATTGAAACTTGGAGCCATTTGCATTAAGCTGAGCACTATGCTTGCTCGCACTGTGGCCTTCTGTTTTCATGAGGAGGCCACAAATTCATGCCGGTGAGCTTAATTGTCCACATCACTTAAGAGCCCATTCTATGAGCATAGCCTACTTAGGGTTTTGTTAGGGAGGGGTCGAGTTATGAGAGTTACAGATGAGGTCAGAATTGTTAGCCTTCTGCGAGCCCGAGAAATGGAAGGCTCCTACATTTTCAACCAGCCAAAACTGAAATAACTACCGTGGTTTTTTTTCAGTGAAACATTCTTCAATTTACAAAACATCCGTTGGGGAATCTTTTGACTTGATTTGGATGGGTCTTCAAGTACATGCACATGTACTTGTTCATTTTTGAGACAAAGTTGTGGCGGGGGTTGTTGGGAAGACACTGAGACACGACTACACTTAAATCCTTGTTATTGACAAAAACCAAAGATAATGATAGGTTTGGAAGTTATCTAAGCCCCCGGCCCTCCTCCAAGCCCCCTCGGCTTGGATGCATCGTCAAATGCTTCAAAATCGTCCGACGGCCTGCGCGGAAAAATTGGGTCCAACACAGAGGAGGCTGGGAGCCCAACTGATGTTTGATCCCAATTGGCGATTTATCTGCAAGAGAGCGAATGCAGGACTTCTGCAAATTGAGGTTTGGATAGAGCGTGCATTCTTGCGTTGTTACTCCTGCTGGAATGCGATGGAATGCTGCAGAGCTGTAGAGGGTATGTGATGTGAAACTGTAAGGAATCTGGGCAGCTTCACAAGCACATAATTCACAAACATTTTACGCTCGACTAGCTCAGTGTCCCTAGCCGCCGCTCTTATTTAAACAAAGCTGATTTCCTCGTTTTTCACTTCACACTCATGCCACGGAAAATCGAAAAGACTCTACAAAATCTTGTAAAGATTGGAATATCCTTGAAATTTGTCAGAGTCCAAGTTGCATGCCTGGAAGTTTTTTTTTTAAAATTGTGATGGAGATATTTCAGTCACCCCCGGGCTTAATCTCTGAAAGCCAGCTCATTTTCTTCCATGATTCAGGTCGCAGTCCCATTCACCCTCACGCTCCTCCAGCCAAGAGCGGAACCGGTCCCGCTCGCCCGGCTGCCGGCGGGACGAGGACGAGTCTGAGCAAGCCAGGAGCCGGTCGCGATCACCGGGACCGGAGAGGGACGACCAAGAGCAGCGCCAGGACGTCAACGACGACGGACATAAGGATGGTTGATCCCCTGAGAGGGAAGAAATGGGTGCGGAGAATAAGGGACTGGCGTGACTGTTTTCATCTGGGAGCATCCATTCTGTCCAGTGGGGGGGGGGTTGTTGCGGGACTTGGTTTTTCTCATTTGATGACCGGGTGTGTCAGCATGAGAAAATGTCTCAATCTTGGACTGCTTGAATGTTCTGTTACAGGGAATTGAAGCTTGGGTGAAAACTTTAGTTTGAGCACAAGTCAGTTTATTTAATGCGCGATATGTGGCAACGGGGACCCCTCTATTGTGTCTCCTTTTGTGTTGACGGAATCTTGGAATTCCTTTCAGATGGGGTGTGTAATAGGCACAATAGCCTTACGGTATATAGCAATCTAAAAGAACGGTTTTCTTCCTAGAAGTGATTAACTTTTTGTTCGTAAGAGTTACTAGTCTTTATGTGAATTTATAGTGAAAATTAGTCATAAATTTAGGTTAAAAAAACGATAATTTTTCATAATTATCCTTTGTCGTAAAAGTGATATTTTCCGCTTTCCTTGACTATTTTCCGAAAAATTTTCTTACCGGAAGCTTAAATATCACCATTTGATAGACTCTTGGCAACTTACTCACACACGAGTTTTCCAAGGGAAATGGCTGTTACTAATCCCTCACATGGGTCACCACCGATATGAGTCGTCTGGTAGAATAATTTTTCAGGCCAACGACCATTATGTCGCATTTGCGCATGCGCGAATACACAAACTAAAATGGACGCACGGTCTATGGGGCCGGGGACCGAATATACGTGACAGAGGCGATCGTTTTGATTGGTAACGGAGACGCCTGCACGCACATGTATCGTATCTGCTACCGAAACGGTAGCAAATGTAAAGATAAACATAAGCTACGTGGGGCAGAACTCCAAAGGCGTGCGTGCGGTTCATCGTGTAGTCTCCTCCAGCTCCTCGCTTCATTTCGCCGTGGGCGCCTTGATCAAAGGCTATCAGTACGCGTTCACAAAATATGCACAGGTTGGCTCCGAGAACTAACGATGTAATTCATACACTAAGCCCATTAAACGCCATAACTGCGGTGGCACCGCACTCACACGCACGTTCTTCAGCTAGACGCGCGCGCGCATATGGCAAATCACGACATCCTATTGGTCGAAAAGGCATGTAACGCGCGCGTACCACCTGTCCACGAGCGTTGCGCCACCGCAGTGACGGCTTGTAATTCTGCTGGTCGAATTAGACTATACTCTGCATATGTAGGATGGAAGGGGGGCCATGTACTAAGAAAGGCAGTCTCGTGCGCAACGGAAAAATCATATACCCAGCAAGAAATGAGACCGAGGGTACCCCCCCAAGATGTCTGAAAGGAATTCCCAAGATTCCTGCGAGACAATGACCAACACAAAGCAGGGGGGGTTCTCTCCGTCCCATACCTTGCTGCATATGAAAAATCACGCTTATAAAGTATCTTTACACGGCACTAAAATGCCGCTGAACGATTTCATGGGATTTTCTGAAAGAAAAAACTGAACAAAGCCAGAAAAGTTGCACCCCTGTACCTTTTCAATGGCCCGCTCTTACCCCCAGAACTGTGGAGTCCGACGTCCGCCCCGCCCCCACGAACGTGTAAAACCTTAAGATATCTTTCAATATCCACCAGGAATGGCCGATTAATGTTACATGGATTGTACTTTAGTTTTCAATGTTGTTAAATCCTGTTGTGTGGCTGTATCAATTACAAGGAATAAAAACGGACCACACGTATGGACAAACACATTTTGCCAAAATAATTATTGTTACGTTACTTTTATTCACCTCTTCACTGCAACATGCACAGACTTGCACTTCTTTGAACATAACACTTCTTCATTAAACATGGCTGACGAAAGTCATGTGTAAAGATAAAAAATACATCCATAAACGAAAGGTTAAAACATCCCATTTCAATCACTGTTGTAGTCAAGACCAGAATGTTTCAAGACCAAGCTTGGGGTACCAAGAACCTGAAACGCATTTGTGTATGACTTAAATACTTCCACTGGATTTAGGGTTGTAGGTCCGGTAACACTCAGTACATACATTTGATATCGCAGAGATCTGAGGTTTTTTAACCGTTTGGGCTTAAACTTGCTGGATCGGTAGAGAGTAAAGCACTTGACTTGAAGGGTCTAAGATTTTAAGCACAGAGGCAGTGAACATAATGGCATATTGTTCTCACGCAAGAGCAGGGTTGGACTATACCGTAGTGGAGATATATATGTGTACCATAAAACCTAGAGTGCTAACTCACGCTGGAAAGTGAAAGTGCAGTCCCGACCTGAGTGTGTGGGTTTTACCCAGAATATTCCTCTGGGGTTTTCCTTCTGCCTCTAAACCTGTAACTGCTTCTCACTGTCTCCTCTCTACAGGTTTCTTCAGGCTTACGAGCTATGCGCGCTTTTGAGGAATCCTTGGTGTCAGTACCAGAAAAGACAGAAAGTTTTATGCAGTTTTTGTAAGGCTATCTGCATCTGTATTCTCAAAGAATGTGTCAACAAAGCAGATATGCAAAGAGCCTACAATGCACAGTCAGTATAAAATGAGCGTTTTGATTCGCTCATTGTAAACACAGCGCAGACGCATTGGAATGCGCTGCAGGAAACGGGCCATTGCGAATGTTGTACTCGCGCGTTGCATTTAGAATACATAATCTGGAATCCTTGAGCTTCTTTCCTTATGTTCTACTGGTATGCGCATGAATTAAAAAACTCGGCGCCCAGGAGGCGTACCAGCTTTTCCACACTGGGAAGGAGGAGTTTAGCACTCTGGTTCTTTAATACAGCTCCGTGCCGGTACCATAAATGGACAGCTGGTCAGAAAACTTCCAGGATTTGGTTCTGTCCTGCCATTGGTGGCAATCTCGCCGCGCAGCGTGGCTGCCTCGCTTGCACATTTCTGGTTTCACGTTTAAGGGCAGTTGATGATGTCGTGCACTTGTCTGGTGAGCTCAGAGGCTGTGGTCAAGGCTGTTAAGTTCCATTCCAGATGTCCAGATTGATATTGTTTGTGATGACGCTGCTGTCGTTTGTCCGGAACTCCTCGTGAAAGTTCGGGTCCCACCAGTGGAAGACGCGGGCACACACGACAGGGTCCAAGACAATGCACGTATTCTCGCGCTTTCTGTCGAAGCGGCTGCGATTGAACGCTCGACCGCGCCCGGCCGCGGGCTCCTGGAACTCGAGCTTCAAACGGCTGTAGGACATTCCGGTACTGATGTTGACGGAGGCGCGGACCAGCTCCTTACCCATGATCCTCTCCGGTTCCAGGTGGTGCGCCTGCTTGCAGATCACCCGCAGGATGCTCTGGCCGCTGTGGTTGTTGACGTGGATATCCGGGTCGCGATTCAACGCCTCGACGGCATTCAGGGTGCCGCTGTCCAATGACTGTCGCTCCTGGAACTTCAGGAAATAGATGTGGCTCCCGGCTTTGCGCTTGCTGACGTGGTACATGAACACCCTTCCCACGAGGTTCGTGAGACTGTCCCCGCTGCTCAAGAGGGCGGCAGCTTTGGCCGCGTTGCGCTGCACGAAGGGCGCGTAAAGGAACTGGAGAGAGCGGATGACCAGTGCCCGGAGGCCAAAGGTGCGCTGGATGCTGGTTGGGTGGAGCTCTTTCGGGAGGCTCTGAGCTGCCTTCATGTTGTAATATCTGGTTAAGGAAGTACAAAGATCGCAATTGTATTGGAGAACTTGTCAGACCATCACTGGACCTCATGAAATCTGCCTGTACATGTACAACAATGCCATCGTCACATCACAAGACACCCATGATAACAAGTACCCCTTACGTGATCATGACTTTCCCGTCCCTTTTTCTTCCCTCTGATAAAGGGCCGTCTATAAAGTATGTACACAGAAAATGCCGACTCTTCAGAACCCCTCCCCTGTACACATACGCAGAGCACAATTCCCGAAGACGCTGCCGGTCTCTGCGTCATGAGTAATGTTAGGGTTTACAAATAATGGGCGTGGGCACGGGAGGATGAATAGTGGGGTGGACAGGGGAGGATACTGTGAAAGAATTTCAACGCACGACAGCTGATTCTGGTATTTGTATGAGAAAGTGTATTGATATGATGCAGATTCATTAAAGACAAATTTTCAGTTTGCGTATGGCACACACTGGCTTGAACCCCCCTCTGTACGCACGGTGTACGCAACGGCACCAACCCCCCCTTGTGCGTACGTACTTTCTGGAAGGCCCCTAACACGATTCCAGGACACCGTATTGTCTTTCCTAATTTTCCACAACTTCCGTAACAACTGATTTCTAAGGGATTTTTCATGACTCTGGAAACCATATTGAGTTTTTGACTGATCTTTCTGGCAAGCCTTTCACTCGAACCTGAAGTACAGCATTCTCCAGAAGCCGGCCGTGTTGGTGAGCGCGTAGGTGTCTCGACACAGACAGGCGAATGTTGCAACATCCTCTGGGTTAATGAAGAACGACACCAGGTACCAGATGACAGATGGATGGATCTGCCCGCCGGTGTAAACACAGGTGGTTGTCTTGCCTGCAAGGTTTTAAAAACACGTAACCGACGACATGAAAATAACTCCTACCTGTAAATATAGCCTGTTTGGCATTCAAGTATTGGAATTCTCGCAACTTGCAGTAAAGTTGACTGAAGCTGTCAATCAACTCAGTGGGAATGGTTACTCAGGGCAGACCAGGGGCTGGTGGCAAAGAGCCTGTCATTCAAAGAAAGGTTTTTCATAAGACCCCTTCTTTGCCCGAGCATGGCCTGGCTTGTCATTGACGAAGCCAGGCCGCTAGTTACGGTTATCTCACTGAGATATTTCCACTGAAATTTTGTTCCGATCGAAAAATCACTTGGTAAAACCTGCATAGCTTGCTTGCAGAAGATGCAGAGATTTCTTGATCATGGGACAAGTGTGCCCAGGTTACGCGCCGACATGCGACCGGCTCCCTGCGCATTTTTGCCAGGCGGAAAAAGACTGGTAAAGTGATGCAGTTCCTACTTCACAGGTGCACGAAATACGGGCGATCCACAGAGTGGTCAATATTCAAGCTAACGATTGACAAACAAATGGCCACCTCGCTGGTTTTTGCCATTTGTGTGAATGCCAGTAGGCAACGTGAGATAATTTTGGAGACTTCTTGGCATTCCACTTCTTAAAAAAAACTGATGAAATGATACTTGAAACACACATGTGAATCTTTCCACCTAGATAAGTGTATGGAGTAATCCAGATTCCCAGCATAATCACTGAATGGATTTTGTCGACCGTTTCCTGCAATGCACTGCGGCAAATGGCCTCCCCTCGTTGGTTGCGCACTGTACTGAGAATCGCCTCGTTGGGTGTGGGTCCAATTACCTTGCGGGGCTGGTGTCACGTGATCATCTTCCTGCTCCTGCTGGTCAGGCTCCTTGCTTGTCACCGTCATCTCGGCATCCTTTTCCCTGCAACCGTCGCCTCCTAGACCCCAAGCCTCATCATTGGTAGCATCCTTCTCAGACTCCTCATCCTCAGAGAAATTCCTCTCGTACCAGTCGTCGACGACGTCTGCTTCTCCTTGGGCCGCCAGGATGGCACTGGCACTTTCGACCTGCTTGACTGTCAACCAAAAAAATACACCATGAGATGCCTAGATGTCACTGTTGCGAACAGGCCCATCACTTCCGAGTCCAAGTCCAAAATATCCCAGTCCGAAAATCTGACACCGAGTCCTCTGATAGACAAAATATTCTTTTACTTTTGAAACGTGGAATGAATAAAGAATGGATGTGCAGTGGGCACTCTCAGTGCAGAAATTAAGTCCATCTCCGATCGGTTCCTACAAAGACTGATATCAGGGAAACAAGACGAGGACTGATAGTTCCAAGTGTTTATTGGCTCTGAACCTGAGAGGGCGTGCTTTACCAACTCAGCAACAACCGTCCTTTGGGGGGGAACTCACCAAGTGCGTGCACAGGTTTCTGCACGTCCGAAGAGCGACGCAATGAACCCGGGAATAACATGCAATGCTATCATTATTTTATCATTAGCCCTAACAGCCCTGACTCCTCCAATTTTAATATGATTTTGCGCACACCCTAGGGAGTTAGGGTTTAATAGTTTGACACATGAAAAAGCCTCGGCAAAATTCACATGCAGCGCCTATGCGCATGCTCTTGCGTCGCTTACCTGATGGTGCCGGACTTTGTCGACTCGTCGTTTTAGAATACAGATGCAGATGTGCGAATAGCCACACTACAATTTTTGGAGAGTTTGTGCACAAACAAGATGTGCCCAGCAGGCTTCACTTTGCACTGGGAGTTAGCGTTCCAATAATTACATTGTATCCCTACTGATACATCCAGTGCCATCCAACTTCAACTTTAAATCGCATCGGCGCAAACACGTTTTAGAACGTATTGATGACATCTGTGATGATATCTTTTTGCACAGCCGATCAATTTTTTGCATGCGGAACTTTTCGGTCGGTGTTTTTTATTCCATATGCTCCAACATTCAAAAAAAGATCCGGTAATATGATAACACCCACAATCCTTTGTGTGCTACTAGAACAGGCCTTGTGATGGGTCAGATTGCATGAGATTTGTGACGTAATAACCCGTCCAAATAGGCTTATACTCCACGCTGTGTACAAAGCTCTATGGGTGATTCTGAGATTGTTCCTAAACTTGAAGAGCGGAAAAGCGCTTGAGGAACTTCTGTTCTGGAAGACGATTCTTCAAGAACTTACCCTCTTTGTTGATGGATGTGGCCCTGGCCTTACTGACTCGAGCGGCGAGTGCCCGACTACTCGCGTTATCTGCAAAAGCGTCGAGTGTCACGTCTGTGTGATGCAAGCAAAAATTGGATTATAAAAAAGATAAGAATGCGAGACTTTTGAGATGCTTGGTGGCAGCAAACATGTCGGTCCAACGTGAGCGGGCCACGACTCTTTGCATCATTTGAGGCAAATGACAGTTGTTGTTTGGGGATGTGTGTTTCAAAGGAGTTTGGCCTTTATTTCATAAATGGATGCCGAGAACTGAATAAATTATTCATGTTATTTTGTCCGGCAATGAAACCTGCGAAGAGGAGAACTCAAAGAAGAAACTTAGGGTTTAGAGGTGGGAGGAAAACCCCCAAATAAAATACTTACACCAACCTAGGCTGGAATCGAACCGGGGTCACAGGGGTGGAAAGTGAACTGGGCACCACGAGGGGTCATTCCGTGTCAAAGCAACCACCTTTCGGAGGCCAAGCTGACAGAGTTTTTCCTAAAATTTGCTGAAATTGTTTGGTCTTTTAAAAACACTCCAAATGTCAAAAGTTCACAGCGTTCACTGCGTGCAATAAATGTTGACCTTGCACTTTGACCTGGTCGAGTTTGTCAACCTTCGCCCTGTGTGGGCGCTGGGTGACAAGGGAATCGTTCCACACCTTTCTCGTGGGCGAATATTAAATTGGCTCTGCCGTTCCGCCCTTTCAACTTTGACCTCTGCCAGCTATCAGAGCTCTCCTTGCTGGATCCTTCCCTGCGAGCAGAGGTTCTCTTTCTTCGGTGCTTTCGATGTGTCACCGGCATTGCGGCATGCTGAGCACTCCGCAGCCGCTACTAAGTGAAAAATGGAAAGCACAATTAGTTTGTCAGGCTTGAGTTCCGTATCTCGCCACAACTATAGAAATGAAAAAGTCTATCCCACGTTGTCTTTCACACATGATATGTGACCTGTCATGACAAAATGAGCCTCAAGTCCCATCCAGCCCTTTCCAATTTTTGTTACCATTGAAAACAAAGGATCGGGGCACAGAGCCAAATTTGTTCAATTTGTTCAAATTTGTTTGCCCACCTTGCTGGAGCGAAGTGGACGACAAAACCCTGGCGGTAGGGTTTGATTAATGCATCTATCCTCCTTTTTCCCTCCCAAACAACAGCCAGAATATTCTTGTTTTTGTAATTATTAATTGACTCCAACATTTAATCCAAATGAGTTCCATATCCAGACATCCCTTAAAACTGTGCACAAACCCTCGGCCTAATACTAGTTTCAGGAAGTAGGAATCGGACCACCATTTCAAAATTACACCTTCCCCCCACCCCAAGAAAAACAAAATAGGCCAAGGCCTACTCTTTGTAATTAAATGCGTAAGGGTTTCGTATATGGACATCACTTATGTTCCCATGCAGTGGTTTACATGTATAAGCTATTACCAGTGCAGTGGCATGATTAGAAAGTGATGACATGCCCCAAACAGGCCTAGTCAGCTAGTCAAATTTAGCAGTGAAAATAGGCCTACTGTATTTCCTTAGATAACACTCAGAATTTTACAGACTAGGAGGCTGAATATTCGTATTGCTTTAAATATTTCGGACTCAATTATAAACAAGCATATGGTTGATGTTTTTAGTAACGTGTACATGTAACGCCTAAATTTAAAGTCACAACAGGTGTCCGAAAACTGGGCCCCGAAAATCGCCGCCCACTCGCGCTACTGCCAGCTTGCAGCTGATGACACTGGCCTAAAAATGATGCAATTACTCGGCCATCATGTCCAATGGTCATGACGCAACGAAGCCAAAACCGCTATATTTTTCTTTCTCGTGCTGATCATTGTGAAATACCTTCTCACCAAAACTGTCCTCCTGAAACTCAACTTCCAATCTCTCAACTGGCATACACACGAAACTCAGCTGTGGGCAAGAAATCGATAAAATTACGCCGAACTTGGTCCTAAGCCTAAAGTTAGCGATGAGTATCGAATCATGTCCGTCTCGTTGGCAGACGCCCTCTGTTGGCCATACGAATCTATTCACGCCACAGTCAGTGGACGTGAAAAAATAAATTAATAAAGTAAATAATGAAATAAAAAAAACTTGAAAAAAATTTGAAACATGCAATATCAAAATTTGTCATTGTGAATATGTACTACGAAGACATGATTTTATAGTCTTCTTTGGTTGTTCTCGATTTCCTTGGGAGCCTTGATCAAAACTTCGCCATCAAAACAACGTGATCACATGCTTGTGTAGAGCACTCGATCCGTTCACTTGAAAGCTTCGCCTGCGGGTGTCCTCAGGTGAGACATATTGTATCATCTCATTCAGGCATTTCACAAAAGTGCGCCTCCAAGAGTTTGCAACGCGTTGGCCAATCACAATGCGCAAAATCTGTCGACCCAATGCGCACTGGAAGGGGTCGACAGATTTCGCGCATTGTAATAAGCCAGCGCCTTGCAAACTCTTGGAGGCGCTCTATAACCGTGTCGTAATTTAGACAAACTCCATCACGCTCTGAATGCAGCTGCCAGGGTTCTTTCATGATCTCCGAAATTTGACGAATATGATCATCATTTTCACCAGTCTTCCAGCATCTTCACATGGCTACCTGTTGGGGAAAGCGCAGTTCAAAATCCTTTTGCTCACATGGAAGATTGTTCATGGATCTGCACCCGGTTATTTTGAGTGAACTCATCAAACCCAATGTGCCACAACGGACTTGGCGATTTTTCCAACAAGAACATGCCGCTTGAGGTCTCCAGAACACAGGAGGCCCATGGTTACAGAGCCTTTGCCTCCGCTGCACCGGTCCTATATGGAGTAATCTCCCCAACAACCTGAGAAGTGTGGACTCTCTAAATACTTTTAAGACCAAAACAATTCTCTTCAAAAAGACTGCTCGAAAATGTATCAAACTGATTATATAGTAACTTTCAACGCCTCGGGATAGTTTACTAAATTGTGCTTAACAAGTGTTTGTTTATCATTTTTGTTATTAAGGAAATAAATATGTGACCCAGCACATCGAAATCAGGAACAAGTCTCAAATTGACTTTTTGAAATATGTACATGATCAGAAAGAGAATTCCATAAGCTTTCAAATGACTTGTCATGTTCATCAGACCATAACTCGAGAACCACAGAATCACCACACTTCTATGTAGGCCCAACCATTTCAAAGCCTCTAATTCTCTTTCTGGCCGTGTACATATCCCGAAAAGTCACTTAAAATTTTGAGACTTATTCCTGATTGCAATGTGCTGGGTCCGCATATGCGACTCTGCCATTAGTCGCGTTCATTCTCCTGAGTCGGCCTCAAACGCACGTTTAAGACTGGCCAAGCACACGATTTTTGATTCCCTTATTAATCATCTCAGTCAAGGTTAGTCATTGCCGAAATGCTGAAAAGACATGAATCTGGGACCCACTAAAATTTCCATTCTTGTTCGGAAATGTAGACAATTTTCCTTGGCTCCCCGTAGACTTTGTACCTAAGCAACGAAGTGGAATCAGGATACATGACTATCCGTGTTTTGTTGCATCTTAGTTACTCACACCACTTAACTTTCGGGAACTGTGTGGTGATTTGGCGATCAACTTACATGTGGGCGTGTGACCTAGTTGTTAGGGTTTGTAGCTTCTGATGATTAGATTGGGGATTCAAATCCAGCTGGTGGCATCAAGTTGCGATCCTGAGCAAGTCACGTCACTTTGCCCCTATGTGCCACTCTCAGCTCCACCCAGGAGCAAATGGGGACTAGTACCTGTGAGGGCAGAAATGATATTATGTTTAGCTGTTTGCGCCCGATATGGTAGCAATGGGCTTGTGTCCTCCCCAGGGAGCTGAGATGGTTCCAGGAATGTTCAGTTGATGTTGTGAGCCATATGTGCAGGGATAATCCGCTCCTAGCGGAACAAAAGAGGGCGTGTTTTTTTGGTACTCACCGCATAGGCGTACTATGCGACGCGCATTTTTTTCCGGCTTGTACGGTCTTTGCGTACAGGCAGAACGCGTGCAAGAACCCGCTTGTACCCAGCTGTGTTTCTTTCGCTGATTGGAGGTGCACTTCAGCTCGGGGCGGATAATAAAAGCGCATCGAAGTCTCTGTCAGTTATGAAAAGCGCTATATAAGAGCAGACATCATTATTTAATACAAGCAATTGTGGAGTTACCCCGAAATGAATTCCCAAAATCGTCGGGGGGATGAGGAAGGGGCAAACATATTTTTTCCGGGGGGGGGGATATGACCCATGAGTCTCTGAGGGGTGCGGTTACATTTTTTAAAAGCTTTTTGATCGGAAGGGAATTAAAATAGACAAAAACGCCCCCCTCTGATTATTCTTCCATTCTTTTTCTTGGCTCCTTTGTGGTGGTCGCTCATGGCCACCGTCCCCTCCAGATCCTTCCTTGGAAGCGCACGTCCCTGTATTTGCCTACTGCAGAAAAAACATAGACGTCTAAGCGAAGAAACAAACATTTCATTCTCAATCGCCTGCCAGTAGGTTTAAAATTAATGCACGTCAACATGCTACAGAAGGCGACTCCCACTCAGCCCAGGGAAAACCCCTCCTTTTCGTGGTTAACTTGGAGTATCCCAGATCTGTTATGTTGGCCTTAGCTTCACTAGCATAATTACTGTTGTGTTGGATAGTCCCTTCAGTGCACTCCAGGGACTCATCCCGAACTTTCCGAATCTCCAAAATAGTCTTTGCCTTAGTGCACCCAAGCTCATCCGCCTTACCCCAAATAATCGAGACATGTTTTCGAGCATCATAATCCTAAAAGAGCGAATTAATTACTTCTGACCATCTCACAGTGAGGGTGTACCCGCTCCCAAGAACTAAGTTGTCACACACCCGATTTTTGTTACAACTTAGCAGCTATGTAAACAAACTCCTTGTCAGTACAAATCTACGGAAACGTGTTGCGCACGTGTGCGTACGTGAAAACCTACGTACACGATACTTTCACACACATGTTCCACGTACGCACGTGAAAACTATCACGTATGTACGAGAAATCTATCACGTACGTACGTGAAAACTATCTCGTACGGTACGTGAAAACTATCACGTATGTACGAGAAAACTATCACGTATGTACGTGAAAACTATCTCGTACGGTACGTGAAAACTATCACGTATGTACGTGAAAACTATCTCGTACGGTACGTGAAACTCAAACTATGATGTACGTACTTGAATATATCGTGTATTTACGTGAAAGTTTTCACGTAGGTATGTGTGGCGGTAATACGATTCAGTACAACTCTGATGTTGCAACACAATTTGACACTGTGGTTTCGTTACGATAAAAGCGTGACAGCCCACGTGAGCACGGAAGTGGATTTGTTTTTGGTTGACCTGTTTCTAAAAATGTGGTCGCTGTGCGAAAACACTGTGTTTGAAAAGCGATTTTCGGCGAATTAATGTTATTAATAAAATGACCGCAAAGATAAAGAAATTTATAGAGATTTAGTTCATTAAGAACATGCTCTGTGGCAATATTGGCAAGAATACCACAGGGACGGGGGCGAATAATGCCCTCGGCTAGGCGACGCTGGCAGACGTCATGTTCTTGATAGAAGAGCCGAGGCGGAATCCGCCCACCTAAGAATTTTTTCTCTGAAATCGCCGTAATGCCTTTTCTCACGAGCCGAGCCCTTATGAGTTAAAAAAAACGGGCAGTAATGTTGCCACCACGTTTGTGAAAACCGAATGTGCCGTTTTCCGAGGTAAGCTGGCCACACCTTTCCACTGCCATGCGTATGTCCTTGAGTATGGTCGTAAACATGATCATAATAAGTTCGTAACAACATAATCATATGTTAGACTGAGATGAAAGTCCACATTTTTAGAGAGATAACGATTGTCTCTACATGCGCGCTAAAACTCCCGGGTCAGATTGACCCGGAATTGGGTCTCATTCGGCATGACCCTTTTCGGGTTCAAAGAATGACCTAGAAACGGTCAAATATGACCCGAAAGGGGGTCAATTTGACCCGGGATTTCTTAGAGTGTATTCGGACGTGGAGAGCCAATTTCGTTTGGGCACAATCTGGGCCCGTACTGTGGGATGACTCAAACAACCTGCCACCTCTTTTGGGTTAATCACTTTGGGTAAGCCTCACACAAGTGTCCATATACGAATCGACGGATGTGAGACGGAGAGAACCCTCCTGCTTTGTGTTGGTCATTGTCTCATTACATCTAGGGGAATGTGTTAGGTAACAATACTCTAGAGTACGTATAGCGATTGGACAACTTGGGGGGGGTACCCCTCGGTCTCATTTCTTTCTGGATATACAAGTCGAAATAAACATGTTTATGAAAATCAGCTCTATGCAAAGTTGTGTGTTTACGGGACAGCGAGAGGCCGGAAGTAATGTATACTCACCGTCTAGAAAATGTGTAAATGAGTCTCTCTTAGAGAGTGATCTCTGCTTCTGCTCCATAGACGACGGTAAACTTGATAACACTATTCCTACAAGTCCAATCTTGAGCTGTGTTAAAGTCATAAATACCGGTATACCGCAGGGATGTGTCGGGTCTCCAATATACACGAATTAGTTCTTATTCTACGCGATTCCTGCTATGTACCGACCCCAACTGTTGCATTTTAATATACGCTAATAACACAGTCATTACTTTGTGCCTGAAAACTGACACCACCAGTATAGCCTACAGGAATTGTATTAATCTTGGTGTATTTCCTGGGAGGGCAGATATTGTTCTTATCTTCAGCCATTTGCGCCTGACTAAGGCAGCATCGGGCTAGCATACTCCCCAGGGAGCTGAGATGGCCTCAGGAATGTTCAGATGTTGTAAGCCCGATGTGCAGGGATAATGGTAATATATCGGCGCCTTCGAATGACAGATCTGGTGGGAGCTGTGCCTCTCAGCCGTCCAAAGTTTTCAGCATTTTCACATTGGTGTTATTTCTTACCCCCTACCTCCCAACAAATAAGAACTCATCAAAATTGTTCTATCGGTAT